TTCTGATTAGCACCACGTGTCTTACAATGTTGCAGCGCATCGTTGGCAATTTCAGAAATAAACTTTTGTGCTAGCCAAAGATACTAGGCGTACTCTAAAATAATGAGAAGTCAATACGGATCATTAGTCGATAGATTTATTTAATAGACATTAAAAGATTAATTAACAAAATACTCAGCCAATAATGACATGAACAATATAATATTTATACTTACATCCTAGGGTCGGTGGTACTGAAACCAGCTGTATGCAAGTAATGCTCGGTGATAGCATCAGGTATCTAACGTTAACATTACAAGATGTGACAATGCATTATGAAGTGCATAAATAAAAAAAACTTTTATTGAAACGCGATGTTTCTTTAGAGAAATTTATTCAAGAATTAATGATAGATTAATACCGTAGGTGTATAATCCTCCAATTGCAGTAAAAAGTCCGACAAAGATTGTCCCGCAGTTGGTTTCTTCGTTGTAGATCGGTGGTTTCTCTTCCGAAACCTTCTGCCATTTTTCTCGTAGCGTAAAAGATAAATAAACTGTGCTACCAACCTCTAACCTCAATCGAAAAAATAAATCGTTTGAAATAAATCGTTTTGCAATTTGTCTCTTGAATCCTACCGGCTTTTATTTCCTCTTTTATAAATATCTCTCTTTTCTTTTGGAGCACAGTGGTACTTTTTTAATACTGTAACACGTAAATTTTTTTATGCTCAACTCACACGCAATTCGAACGTGTAAATTGTAGCATATCTGCGTAAAGGTACAAATGTGGCGGCTTGGCGTTGGAGGAGCGTTGTCCACGATATGAAGTATTTTGATGACGGAAAAAAGATGTTGGCCGCAGTGGGTTTCGAACCTGTGGTCCTCAGGTGTATGAGTCTCGAGCGCTACCACTGCGCTGTGCGGGCCACGGTACTTTTTCGTGTATGTTTCTGCTAAGTATTAGTTGTGTGAGCGGGGGACCGCCACACAAAGAAAGAACTCACATAATCCAACCTAACCCTAATTGTATTTGGGCATTGTATTTTAAATCAACGATATCAACAAACTGTGAAAAACGTGATTAAAATAGCGAAATAATAACGTATGAGCATTATAATCAATTATTTAATTCAAAATATTATTGAATATTTGTTATTCAATACATCAGCTAATAATACATTCGAGAATAAATATATAATTGACTTGGTTCGCGTCAATATTTCGTTTATATTGCAGAAGTTTTTAATATAAGTTAATGAATGCATGTGTTATTTTACTTCAAAGAATCTTTCTAATTAATGATACACGCTCTATTTTTATGTAAGTAATAACTTTTAATATAAATATAATGATTTTTTCTAAGGATGGCATCCAATGACATCAATTCTCACCCAATGTTGGCTTCTTCAGAAGAGACTGGACAACATGTTACTAATGCTTCGCAGCAGGAAATAAAGATGCAAATACAACCAAGCCGCAGACTCAGGTAAATCCGGACACACAACTGGCCGCAGGAAAAGAAATTGTTGAAGCTTGCGAATTACAGTGCTTGTCAAACTGAGGAATGCAAATGTATAGGCTGGGAGAATGCGCAACCGATTATGAAATCGTCCAAGGGCGAGATAATACAGCCTGTTATAAGCTTTTCTGATCCATGCAAACTATGCGGTCATCCTTTAGAAAATCATATTAAACATTTATCAATCCAATCTAGTGAAGAAATCAACAGATTATTGGGAATGGCTATTGATGCAGATAATATTTAACATGTATGCACAGAGAAGCAGATACTGACACTAAGAAAGTA